ATCGACTCAAATAACATGAAAATCAGTGCAAAGGATGTAATGGAATAGAACTTCTCAGATTACAAATAACATCTTAAAACCATGTCCTATTAAACTCACCCTGCAGACCTGTGGAACTCAGACAACATGTGCAGTAAGCAAATAGCTGCCGCCGTGGGGGAGGGGAGGCAGGGAGCAAACACTAATGCTACTTGGTTTCTTTTCGAGGAGGTGGAAAATACTGTGACATTATAAATACTGAACATTGTGAACAAAGCTATTATAAAAAAAATGAAAGAAACCCAGGCCAACAGCTCCAGCTAGTCAGGAAGCCAGGCACTTCCCAGCTGGTCAGGAGGCGCAGGCACAGAGATCCTAGTTCCAGCTTGGGTAACTTAGTGAGACCCTGTCTCAAAACGAAAAGGGATGAGGATGTAGCTCAGTGGCACAGCTTAGGATGTGTGAGGTCCTGTGCTCAATCCCCATTATGGGAAAAATAATCACATGAAATGACAAAATACAAACACTTCAAATAGTAGTTTTGGGAAGCTTGACATGGTGGTACAAGCCCATAATCCCACCACTCTGGGGGGCTGAAGGCAGGATGATCCTATTTGAGCCCAACTTAGGCAATTTACTTAATAGCAAGACCTATTTCAAGCTCTTCCTGTAAGCGGCCTTAGGTGACCTGTGAAAATGGTTCGCTACTCTCTTGACCCAGAAAACCCCACAAAATCATGCAAATCAAGAGGCTCAAATCTTCGTGTTCACTTTAAGAACACGCGTGAAACTGCCCAGGAAATCAGGGGTATGCATATCCGAAAGGCCACCAAGTATCTCAAGGATGTCACATTAAAGAAGCAATGTGTACCATTCCGGTGTTACAATGGTGGAGTTGGCCAAACAGTGGGGCTGGACACATGTTCGGTGGCCCAAAAAGAGTGGTGAATTTTTGCTGTACATGCTTAAAAATGCAGAGAGTAATGCTGAACTTAAGGGTTTAGATGTAGATTCTCTGGTTATCGAACATATCCAGGTAAACAAAGCACCCAAGATGCACCGCCGCCATACTTATAGAGCTCATGGCCGGATTCATCCATACACGAGCTCCCCCTGCCATACTGAGATGATCCTTACTGAAAAGGAACAAATTGTTCCCAAACCAGAAGAGGAAGTTGCACAGAAGAAAAAGATATCCCAGAAGAAACTGAAGAAACAAAAACTTATGGCACGGGAATAAATTAAGCATAAAATAAATGCAAATAAAATTTTAAAAAAAGACCTACTTCAAAATAAAAAAATGAAAAAGCGTGGGGGTATAGGTTAGTGCAATGATTAAAACAAAAATTCTGTAAAATCCATATACGACCTGTAGTTGGGCATAATGGTACATGTTTGTAATCCTGACATTCTGTGAGGCTGAAAGACTACAGGTTTAAACTCAGCCTGGGCCACTTAGTGACTTGGCAAAACACTATCTCAAAATAAAAAAGGGTTAGGGATTTGGATAGATGCCCTGGGTTCAATCCCCAGTGTGTGTGTGTGTGTGGGGGGGGGGCATGTGCATATGTCAGCAGTAGAGTACCTGACTACCATGTATGAGGCTCTGGGCTCAACTCCTAGCATGGCTAAAAAAAGAAAAAGCAAACTATCTTTCCTGGGACAAGGTATCGCTATGCAGTTCAGGCTGGCCTTGAACTCACTATGTATATGTGTTGCCAAAGGGCCATGGCTGTGACTAGATGTCTCTCCAAAGCCTCATGAAATCACAGGTGAGGCTTTTTCAGGGGTGGCTGGATCTAGAATACATAAGGAAGGGGTCAGTTCATGGTACAATGCTAGGCTCCAGAGCACCAGGACTAAAGGTGTGAGTGCTGCGCTAAGCACCCTGGGTAAGACAGAAGGGAGGGGAAGAGCTGTGGTCCCCTCGTTGCTCTGCTGCCTCTGTCCACCATGGACTGTCTCTCTCTGTGATGGAGCCCGCTGGTTATGACTGAAACCTCTATAAAAGCTATGAGCTACGTAAATCATTCCCACTGTAATTTGGGGGGTCCAGTACTTGGTCTCAGTAATGAGAGGAGAGTAACTAAGACACCAAGTGAGCACAATACTATGTAGCACAGGCTGGCCTCAACTCTGCACGATCCTCTGCCTCGGCTCCTCAGTGCTGGGTTTACAGGTGTGCACAACCATGCCTTGCTGGCAAGAAGACTATCTGCAAGCTAACTTAGTAATCCCCTCGTAAATTCAAATGGTACTAAAATATTGTATAAAGAGAGCCGAACTACTTGACGATATTTTGTATCTTAAATGTTCCAACAGTGTTGCTTTACAAATTTTTTTCTCCTGAAATTGTTAGTTTTTTTCTAGAACCTTTAAAATTTTGAAACTGTGGTATAAATATCTTATTGTGGGATGAGGTACCTCAAATATTTTAGGACTGGATGTATAGCAATTATACTTAGTGAATAAACTTTTCAATTCCACAAAAATACATGCTCAAGTTTCTTTTAGAGAAAAGTGACAACTGAAAAAAGGTTAAAACTATGACAAACCAGGATTGTAATCACAGCAGTCAGGAGGCTGAGGCAGGAAGGTTGTCATGAGTTCAAGGCCATCCTGAATTATAGTGAGGCCATTTCTCAGAACCCCTTCTTCCAAAAAAAAAAACCCCATAACAAATATAAACAGCCTGAACTACTTAGTGAGACCCTGTCTCAAAAACAAACAAATCCCAGCTTTAATCCCTGGTACGGAGCAGGATGGGGGTGGGTTTGGGGAGTGTCAGGAAAAAAACTGAGTATAACTTGCCAGTATTGCATTAAGAAAATTACAATAGACCACATGATAAATTGAATCCTCAACACTAATTAAAGGTCTAAAAACTATATATGTACTTTTTTTTTTTTTCTTGTGGTACTGGGGATTGAACTCAGGACCCTGCACTTGCCAGGCAAGCGCTTATTTTACTGAGCTATCTCCCTGGCCTGAAAACTATATAAAGGAGGAACTTTTCAACACTTAAACATTATTTGCTTAGTAATACTTTGTAGAGAAATAATTCAAATGAATTTCACCGACTAGTGCACAGCAATGATGAATCACTACTAAAGAACTCCAGCTTGTAAGCCTGGAACGATGTGGCAGTGATTTCCATTTCTGATAAGACTGATCTTTACGACAGGTCTTGCTTGAATTTCTGCCCCAGCACAACCGTGCAAGGGCAATGCAGATTAAAATCTACCTTAAACTGCTCATCTTCACAACTACTGTACAGTGCTTCTCTAATATTCTAAAATGAGGAAAATACTGCCTTACCAACTCAGAAAGTGCCAATGAACTACGTTAAGCTTTGATCCGTTTGTTTTCTTGAGGCGGGTGGTCTCGCTCTGATGCCGGGGCTGGCCCCACACTTCTGAACTCCGGTGACCTCGCACCTCCACCTCTGCTGCAGGCGAGGCTGACAGGTGCACACTGCCCCAAACCTTTCTCTGCTTGCTTGGCTTGTTGGTTCGCTTTGTTTTTTCTTGACAGGGTCTCCCTATGTAGTTCAGGCTGCCCCTGAGCTCACTGTGATCTTCCTGTTTGCACCTCCCGAGTGTGGGGAGTTCACGCTTGTGCCAACGCAACTGGCTAGGTGTCTTCAAGCTTTTATTCATTTATCTTTGCAAAAGTTAAAGCATTTTTTTTAAAAAGGAGAATATAAAGTAAAAAAATAGAAATATAGAATTTCGCTAAACAAAAAATAGGAATTCCACAATAGTTGTTCTATTGCACAATGTTGTCCTCAAACTAGTTGTTTAGGTTACCAGATATAAACATGCAAAATTGGTTTAAAAAAAAGTTATAAGAAATTAAAAAGAAGAAAAAAATTAAGCATTGACTGCTCCTTTCAGTAGACCAGCAGAAATCAACAGTACAAAACTTTTAAATTTTAAACAGCTGAGTATGGTAGTGCACCCCTGCAATCCCAGCAGTCAGGAGGCTGAGGCAGGAGGATTGCTGTGAGCTCAAGGCCAACCTGGGCTACATAGTGAACTCAAGGCCAGACGGAACTGCACAGCCAGACCTTGTCTCAAAGAAAAAAAAAGAAAAAGAAAAAGAAAAAAGACTGGGAGATAGTTCAGTGGCATAAACGAGGGTCATGAGTTTGATTCCTGGTACAAAAAAAAAGTTCAAAATATTTTGGTGACAAACATCTTCTGAAAGGTATGACAGCAGCTACACACCACTGTGCTATACTGGAAGTTGCAAATATGTCAGTACCTCCCATTCTCCGTACCCACCTGCCACCCCACAGCACTGTGCTGCTTTCTTTAGTGACTGTAGTGCGCATGGGTAGCAGTGCCTTTCACAGTTTATAATCAATCAACGCTCCTTTCCTTCTTCCGTCCACTTCAATGTAACTCATTCTCAACCAATATTTTAACACTGAACACGGATTTCTTCAGAGTACCACAATGGTGACACTGTGCAAACTAGATTGGATTTCTTCACCTTCGCTTGTCCAATATATCAAATACCTTAAATTCCTGGCTAACTTGGTTCTTTCAGGGAATGATACCAGAGTGCTCGCAGTTCTAAAACAAGTTTCTATCGAGTTGGAAAACCTTGAACGTTGTAAATTATGTCAGTTTCTCCAGTCCCTCAGCCAGGGCTCGGGCTGTTCAGTAGTCCCAGGCAGGGCGCTGAGTTTGTCTCCACTCTAACTGGGAGCTGAAAATAACGTGTCGCGTCACAGCCTCTGCAGCTGTCACTGAGCCCCTCGCCTCGCCTTTCCCCGGGAGGAGACTGAGGTCAGGAAAGCTCGCGGCCCCGCCGCAGTTCGCGGTCGCGCTCAGGTCCCTGCGTCCGCCGAGCAGCGCCCGGTCCCGCGCCCGTGCTCTCCGCGGGGGACAGGCGCCCTCGCTCTCGGGGCCACCGCGGGGGCGCCGGGGACCCATGCCCCAAATCCGCACCTGCCGGGCGTCCCCCAGCTCCGCCCGCCGTCCCCCCAGCCCCGAGGAGGGGCTGCCACTCACCCGCGGCGCGAGCGGACGCAACTCCTCGCTTGACGTCGGCCCTGCTCCCGCGGAGACCCAACAGCAGTGCGCGATGGCTGCCGCGGCCTCGGCTCGCTCCAGCTCCTTCCGGGCGGGCGGTGCCTCACCGGCGACGTCCCCGGGCCGCCGCGCCGCGCGCGCTCAGTTCCGCCTCCTCGCGGTCCCACCGCAGTCCCGGGGCGAGCGCTGGGCGCCTCGCCGCTCCAGCCCCGCCTCCCGCGGAGGCCGGGACTATCCCCCCCCCGCCCCGGGGGGGCTTGAACCTAAGGCCTCAGGCATGCCAGAGGGGCACTTTACCATTGAGTTACACCTTCAGCCCTTAAAACTACGCTTATTTTTATTATTGCCTATACTGGGGACTGAGCTCAAAGCCTTCGCACTGAGCTAGATTTCCTAAGCTTTTTGATTTGGCGTTTTGAGACATGGTCTTGATACATCGTTCAGGTTGACCTTGCACTCACTATGTAGCCCCTGCCTGGCATCCCAAGCGTTGGAGTGGCAGGTGTAATCCACCACCAAGTCTGGCCACACTTTATATTTGGGACAAAGTCTCTCCGAGTCACTGTCGTGCCCAGGCCTCGAACTTATGGCAATCCTCCTGGTCCAACCTCCGGAGTGCTAGGATTACAGCCCTGCACTTCCATGCCTTACAGGAGAAATCCCAATTTCTTTTTTGTTTGTTTTTGTGGTACTGACAAGCGTTTATTCTACTGAGCTATCTCCCCTGCCCATGAAACCCCAATTTCTAATGCTAAAATATACAACTACTGTGCTTTGAGTTCAGACACAAAGCAAACTTATTTACCTTTATCTAAAATATACATAATGGGCTGGGGAGATGGCTCAGTGGAATAAATGCTTCTCTGGAGAGCACAAGGGCCTGAGTTCAATCCCCAGTTCCACCAAAAATAAATAAATAAATAAAATAAAATATACGTAGTATCTTCTTTGAACAATAGCGTATAAAGCTATTTAAAACAACAAGAGGGGGGGACCTCAATAAATAAATAAATAAATAAATAAATAAATAAAAACAGAACAAGAAAAACCTTGCACCTAGGAACTTACAGCACATGGGGCCAGGGAGATGGCTCAGTAGAATAAGTGCTTCTCTGGCGAGCACAAGGGTCTGAGTTCAATCCCTGGTTCCGCAAAAAAAAAAAAAAAAAAAAAGAAAAGAAAAGAAAAGAACTGGGTGTGGAGCATATGCCTGTAACCCAGGCAGTCGGGAAGATGAGGCAGGAGAGCTCAAATATCTTAGTGAGACCTTATCCCAAAATAAAAAAAAATACTAAAAAGGGCGGAGGTTGTAGCTCCGTGTGAAGGCCCTGGGTTCATTCCCCAGTACACCATATAGACGCACATGCACACGCATATAAGTACGGGTTAGTGGTATTAAATATATTCATAATGTTGTGCAATCCCCATTGTGTATTTCATAACTCATTTGTAAAACAAACTCTGTACCAATTAAATAGTGACTCCCTATTTCTTCTTCCAAGCATCTTGTAGTGTCAATTTCTACTGGTCTTTTGGTGGTACCAGGGATCGAACTCAGAACTTTGTGCTTGCCAGATAAGGACTTAGTCTACTGAACTATTTCACCAGCCCTCTTCCAAGCATCTTGTAACCACCACTCTGTTTTCCATCTCTATAATTTTGAGCATTTTTAAGTACCTCAAGTAAGTGGAAGTGCACAGTGCTTTCTTGCAACTGACTTCATTTACAGATATCTCCAAGATTCATCTATGTTGCACATATGCAGAATTTCCTTCCATTTACTTATTTATTTAGGTTATCTGGGAGAGTGTCTTGCTATGTAGTTCAGGCCGGCCTCGAACTCTGACTGTTCAAGGTTAGTGATGGGTTACAGGTTATTGCTATCACATCCTGCCATTTTTTTTTCTTTTAAAGCTGAACACCCTAATCTTTTTTTTTTTTTTTAATGACAATACTAACCAAGGTCTACAAAAAGATATTTTACTTGCTATCAGTCAAAAGCCCAATCTTTTTGATGATTGCTATTGTTGCTATAAAATTAACACATCATAGGTACTAAAAGTTGGGAAAAATTAGAAAAATCTAGTAGGGATAAAAATCACCCTTGGTCAAATCTCAGATATTAATCCCAATAATCAGGAGGATCACAAATTTGAGCCTCGCCTGGGCCTCATAGTGAGTTTGAGGCTGGCTTGGGTGATATAGAGAGACTCTGTCTCTAAAATCTAAAACCAAAGCAAAGGAAAATAAGCACAAAACACCCTCACGTTGGCAAGAGGATAGTGAATTGAGGGTAGCCTGGGATACAAAGACTCTGTCTCAAACAAAAGTTTTATGAAACACTCAACATTAAAAACTTTAGGCTGGGGAGATAGCTCAGCAGCTTAAACACCTGCCTGGCAAGAACAAAGTCCTGAGTTCGATCCACAGTACACACACTGGGGCCGGGGAGATAGCTCAGTAGAATAAGCACTTTCCTGGCAAGCCCAAGGGCCTGAGTTCAATCCCCAGTTAAAAAAAAAAAAAAAAAAAAAAAAAAACACACAATACACACACCCTTTAGCTACACACTAGTTTAAAGATTGGTTCCAATATTAATACATTATTAGCTACTTCATAGCTCATTTCCTCTATCTGTAAAATGGACAGTGATATCCAGAAGGAATTATATGAAGAGAATTATATACAAAAAGGAATAGCTAGGGGAAAAATATCAGGCATTTTTAGTATAACTGGGAAGAACTGGCCTGATCCAACTGGAACCTTAGCTCCCAAATTATAGAGCTCTCCTTTCTTTCTCTTTTCGGGGGAGGGCTCCAGGGATCGAACCCAGGGTCTTTGCACTGAGCTATGACCATAGCCTTTTCTTATTTTGAGATAGAGTTTTGGTAAATGGCTCAAGTGGACCTCTACCTTGCAGTCTTCTGCCTTGTGCCACACTAGAGTGGTTTTTTTTTTGTTTTTGTTTTTTTGTTTTTTCTAGTATACAAAGATGGCAGTACAGGAATACGTTTAGAACTGTGTTTCTGAACGCTTCCTGGGGTGTACTGGAACGTCAACACTGGGTCGTGGGATGAAGTCAGTAATGAGATGCTGAGGTCAGCAAGAAAAGAAAGAGGAAGTCCTGTCTGAGAAACTGAGGATTGGTATCTGTAAGATTTCATGATTTATTGCAGGCAGGTAACAGAGGTAAAAGAGATATCAAAGTCGAAAGTCTTTTTTTTTTTTTGGTATTTTTTTAGGAAATGGTCTAGAGGGTATTCAGGGTCTCACTTCTAGATCGGACTCAATAGTGATCCACCTGTTTACAGCCTCCCAAGAGCTGGGATTACAGGCACGTGTCCCCAAGCCCAGTCTCAGGGGTGGGGCTGGCTCGGCAGGTCTGGGAGTGAACCTCAAGCCCCTGTGCCTGTTTACAGGCACTTTAATCCGCTGAGCCGTTTGGCCGGCCCTAAAATTGAAAGTCTTAACGTGGATTAATAAATACATGTCTCTCCAGCCCTACTACAACTAATTTACTGTACCATCTTTGCCCCCCCCCCCAGTTAGAGCAACAACTCTGCTCCTTTTTACTTTTTCCTCTAGTCAATTATCCTCTTAATGGGTTCATTGAAAACATGAATTACATCAAGTGACTGCCCTGTTTACAATTCTTTTTACCGGGGATTGAACTCAGACCCTTGCACTTGCCAGGCAAGTGCTTATTCTACTGAGCCATCTCCCGGGCCCCTTGTTTACAATTCTTGAACCAAGCCCCTACGTGCCTCACAATGCCTTGTGCAGCTCTCCTGGCTCTGGCTCCTTCACTTCTCCAACCCTGCCTCCTGTCACTGCCTTGCTCCAAGCTCGTTTCTGTGACGGGCTTCCCTGGTGCTGTCCTAGGTCTGAAGTTTGCTCCCCATCTTCTCTTCTACAGATGGAGCCCAGGGGCTTCACACTGAGCTACATCCCTGGCCCTCTATTCTGTGTATGACGTACTAGGGAGGGAACTTGAAGGTATTTATGACTTTTGTTTCCATTTTGAGACAGAACCTTGTTAAATTGCCCAGACTGGGTTCAAAATTGCAATCCTCCTGCTTCAGCCTCCCACAGTGCTGGCACCACAGGTGTGCACCATCATACCTGGCTCCATCTTCTCTTTGTAAATCCAACTGTATCATTTGAACCCCAGCTTACCTGTCACCTCCTGTCCTAATATCCTGCCCAAATAAGACTCTTGGTTGCAAGCCTGCTGTAGCACTGATTCCTCAAAAGCACCTAAGAAACTAAAATATACTTATGTACTGAACATTTAAATTTTCTGTTTCCTCTAACTGTAACCTTCATCAAAGAAGGCTTGTCTGTCATATTCTCTTGCCTGGTACATGGCACTGTGGGTGGTATATGGAAGTCGTTTACTAAATGTTTTAAATAATGAATAGAAGAATCAGCCAATGAAGGATCTGGTGAGATCACTTATCAGAAAGTGTCATGAGGAGCTGGACTGTGGTATATGCCTGTGATCAATGAATTCCGGGAGGCTGAGGCAGAGGGACCCAAAGTTTGAGCCCAGCCTTGGCAATTTAGTGAGACTCTATGTCAAGATAATAAAAAGGGCTGGGATGTACCTCAGTTTGAGGACCTTGGGTTCAATCCCCGACACTAAAGAAAAATAAAGTATCACAAGGAAAAGGTAGGTTTAAAGAGGAAGTGTGACTCACTTCCTCTTTACTATCTCTACTATATCTCTAATATTAGAGGGTCAAGATGTATGTAGAGGGAGATATTTAGGATTAGAAGAGTAAAAAGAGAGGCTTTTTTTTTTTTTTTTTTTTGAGACAAGGCCTCACTATGTCGGTCAGGCTGGCCTTGAACTCTGTATATAGATAGCCCAGGCTGGCCTCAAACTCAGTGATCCACCTGATTTAGCCTCCCAAGTGCTGGAATTCCAGGCCTGCGCCACCACATCTAGCCTGAGTTGGTATTTAGTATCATACAGTACTTTCAGCCCTGCCCAGGGAAGATGGGGCTGGACTGGGGCTAAAACTATTTCAACTATACTATTAGGGCTCTATCATGAGGGATACCAAATGGCATATTAGTCAAGACCCTAAAAGAACTATAGAACACAGTTTA